TTCCTGGCAGGGGAGAGATCTGTACTGTTTACACACAGATCTCTCCCCTCTCAGCCCTGCCGATGATCGCCGAGTCGCTGCCGGCTGACATCCCCAGCAGCCAATAGCGGCGCGGATAGGGCGGGTATATATACGTGATTGTGCGCAGCAGTGCTGCCCTGTCGCAGTATTCCTGCTATAGGGTGGCAGGCAAGTGTTTAATGACACGCCAAGGCAAGAGGTGCTGCTCTGGGCGCAATGGTTTACTGTAGGGGGGGGGGGCGCCTTTGTTCTGTTACAAGGCTGACAGTGGTGGTGATAGCGACAGCAATTTTGACAAGCAAGTGCCTGCTGGGCGTAGGATCCCCAAAGTGCGCACATCATGAACCGGGGAGGGGGCGCAGTTTGGCGTCCTTGCCCTGGGCGCTGGATGACCTCATCCCAGCACTGATGAAGCCCCATGCATCTGCAAATCCGCACAGTTCTGTGCATGCCAAACAGCGTGCTGACGCAGCACCAGGGGGTGGACTGACCATTCGAGCACTCGGGCACTGCCCGAGGGCCCGGGGTCAGTAGGGGGCCCCATGAAATGCCCCTGATACCTTTTATAGGCTTTTTTTGGGTGTGTGCTTTGAGTGTGGGCAAGGACACAGGGGCCCCATGACCCCCTATTGCCCGGGGGGCCCCATGAGTTGTCAGTCCGCCCCTGCGCAGCACCTTGTGGTTTGGTGCAGGGCATTTTTGAAAAAGGGGTCATGGACTTCTGCTCCTTGTTTCTCGCGCATACGGCAGCCCATTCATTTCACACATGACGCACAAAAAATGCGTGGAAACGCACCCGCACTTGGTTGCATCTGTAGATGTGGACAAAGCCTAAAGAGCGCTTGAGAAGAAGCAAGTATTATCCAATTCTCTCTTTCTCAACCCGAGTACCGGGGTAGTCTGGGGTACCATTTGGGTTCTCCAGCGGAGGACCCAGTTCGACCCGGGTCAGCGTTTCCCAACCTTTCCTCTGCCATGGCGCCCTTCAAAATCATGCAAAATGCGGAGGCACCCCAGTCTAAAATGTAAATGTTACCCATCAACGTGAAACCAAGACAACCAATGACACTCTAGGGCAGCACGCACGCGGGCATTCATTGTTCCGGAGCTGACGGCCGGCCAACCCATATCATGGCGAGTGACGGTGCTGATCCATAGCAGGTGGCATGCAGAACTGCTCCCCAGCCAGGGGCGGACTGACCATTTGGAAACTCGAGCACTGCTCGAGGGCCCGGGGTCAGTAGGGGGCCCCATGAGATGCCCCTGGTACCTTTTTCATAGGCTTTTTTGAGTTTGGGCAAGGACACAGGGGCCCCATGATCCCCTATTGAGTGCCCGGGGTCAGTAGGGGGCCCCATGAGATGCCCCTGGTACCTTTTTCATAGGCTTTTTTGAGTTTGGGCAAGGACACAGGGGCCCCATGATCCCCTATTGAGGGCCCGGGGTCAGTAGGGGGCCCCATGAGATGCCCCTGGTACCTTTTTCATAGGCTTTTTTGATTTTGGGCAAGGACACAGGGGCCCCATGATCCCCTATTTCCCGGGGCCCCATGAGTTGTCAGTCCACCCCTGGTCCCAGCATTCAGATGAGGATGGAAATCTGTCTCCTCTAGATCTCCTTCACCTCCTGCCCTCTGCTGTACTGATTGAGCTAAAAGATAGGACTCTGGAGAGGGCACTGTGTGACTGGGGGGGCACTCCAAAGGGGGCTCTGTGATTTGGGGGGACTCTGGTGTGATCAGAAAACTTGGTGATTTGGGGGGACTCTGATGTGATTGGGGGATCCTGACACATACACTATATTGCCAGAAGTATTGGGCTGCTCTTTGTCGCAATGCAGCTGCCTCCTGGGGTTGCTGGAACCCTCTCTGAGGAGGAAAGAACACTCTGGAAAGTCCTCTAAACGATTTATCACCTCCCCAGCCACCTTCTGGATGCCTCCTTCCAGGGATTGGCTGGGGCATGATTAATATTCATACTGGTCATGTGACTCTTCTTGACCTATATTCTGGAAGCCGGAGGAAGACTTCAAACACCCAGCGAGGAAACCCTAGTGTAGGGTATGATATAGATCACTGCTCCACTTACTGAGTGCCTAGCAGCCTAGCCAGAGGAGGGCGCTACGTGCATGAAATAAAATGCGTGGACACACGCCTGTGATTGGTCGCACTTGAGGGTGAGACTAAAGTCTAAGCAGGAACTCAAGAAAAAGCAAATGGTGTCTGAATCAGTCTTTCTCAACTGGGGCGCCATTTGGGTTCCCATCGCATTGGGTGATGGGCTACTTATCAATGGGAAAACATACTGTACCAGAACGCACCGGAACGCACAAAAATTCACTGGAACGCACATGTCTATATTTTAATTGAAGAAAAAGAGAGGGAAAAAATTAACTGGAATGCATAAAAAGTGCACCATAACGCATCAAAACCGCGCCAAAAATATGCATGCAGAAACGCATCCAGAACGCATCTGGACTGCATTTCTATAAAGTGAACCGGCCCAAACGGGCTGCATTTTTCCTGCACAGAACTGTAATAGAGTGCAGTAAAACGCATGCACTGGGACGCACTTGTCTCTATTTTAATTGAAGTAACAGAGAGGGAAAAAAATGAACTGGAAAACATCAAAAATGCACCGTAACGCATCAAAAACGCATCAAAAATGTGTATGCAGAAACGCATCCAGAATGCATCTGGACTGCGTTTCTATAGAGTGAACCGACCCAAACAGGCTGCCTTTTTCCTGCAAAAAACTGTACTCGAATGCAGTAAAACGCATAAAAAATGAACTGGAACGCACCAAAAATGCACTGGAATGCACCAAAAATGAACTGGAACGCACATGTCTATTTTAATTGAAGACAAAGAGGGGGGAAAATGAACTGGAAAGCATAAAAAATGCACCGCAACGCATCACAAAGGCATCAAAAACGCACCAAAAACACACCAAAAACCTGTATGGAGAAACGCATCTAGAACGAATCTGAACTGCGTTTCTATAGAGTGAACCGGCCCAAACAGACTGCATTTTTCCTGCACAGAACTGCACTGGAATGTAGTAAAACGCATCAAAAATGCACCAGAAAGCACCAAAAATGCACTGGACGCACATGTCTCTATTTTGATTGAAGAAAAGGATGGGGGAAAAAAATGAACTGGAAAGCATCAAAAATTCACCGTAACGCGTCACAAACGCATCAAAAATGCACCAAAAATGTGTATGCAGAAACGCATCAGGACTGCGCTTCTATAGAGTGAACCGGCCCAAACAGGCTGCATTTTTTCCTGCACAGAACTGTACTGGAAATGCAGTAAAACACACCAAAAATGCACTGGAAAGCACATGTCTCTATTTTAATTGAAGAAAAAGAGGGGGAAAAAATGAACTGGAAAGCATCAAAAATGGATCAAAAACGTGTATGCAGAAACGCATCTAGAATGCATCTGGACTGGGTTTCTATAGAGTGAATCGTCCCAAACAGGCTGCAATTTTCCTGCACAAAACTGTACTGGAATGCAGAAAAACACATCACAAATGCACCAGAAAGCACCCAATTACACCAAAAACGCACTGGAATACACACGTCTCTTTTTAAATTGATGAAAAAAAGAGGGGAACAAATGAACCGGAAATCATCAAAAATCAAAAATGTATAAAAACCGCACCAGAACGCAAAAAAAAAAAAAAATGCAGCAAAAACACGCATACACAAACGCAAGGAACACATTTGGACTGCGTTTGTATGGTGTGAAGCGGCCCTCAGTTTTTATATATATGTCATGAGAAAGTGCAAAGTTTTACCCCCCCCCCCCCCCCCCGTGTGCAGAGGCATCCCTGGACTTCCCCCGGTACACAGCCGCCGTTCGGAGCGCGCCAGCCGCGGCGTCACACATCCCTCCGCTCGCTCTAAGCGGTTTTGACAGGTGAGCGGTTTCAAAGCAATAACTGATTTCCCCGGGACGGAATCTATGAGGGAGGAGCGTGGCGCAGTTGTTCCAACATGATAGAAATGTCACCGCTAACAGACGCCCGCGGCTTTATTTAAACAGGTGGGTGCTTCTCTAAATGCAAAGTGCCGCTAAGACTCCGGCGGTGGAGGACGGCGAGGAACGAGACGCTGAGATTTAATTTGGTGTTCTCACTCTGTAAGATGCTTTTTAATAATCCGGTAATAGACCGGCGGTGCGGGATTTCATCATCTGCGCGCCTCGCACAGCACACTCAGCTTTTCCATCAACCTTTTTTTTTTTTTTATTTTTAATGCTTCTGTTTGAAATTAATTTAACCCGCAGTAACGGAGCTTTACTATAAAACGGGAGACAATACAGAACAATACAAGAGGGATAGGAGGGCCTGATCCTGGGAGCTTACAATCTAAGAGGGAGGGGCTAGTGGTACAAAAAGTAATAACTGTGGGGGATGGACTGGTAGGAGGAGTAGAAGATTCCAGTATTAGCTGAGGGCAGGATAGGCTTCCCTGAAGAGATCGCCTAAAAGTGAGCAGAGTAGGCGATAGTCTGATAAAAATGGGGTAGGGGAGTTCCAGAGGAAGGGGGAGCTCTGGAGAAGTCCTGGAGATGAGCATGGGAGGAGGAGACAAGGGAGCCAGAGAGCAGGAGGTCTTGTGAGGAGCGGAGAAGACGGTTTGGGTGATATTTGGAGACAAGATTGGTGATGTAATTTGGGGCGGAGTTATAAATGGCTTTATATATTATTGTTAATGTTTTGAATTGTATCCGTTGGGCAATGGGAAGCCAGTGGAGGGATTGGCAGAGAGGGATGGAGGACACCGAGTGGAAGCCAGTGGAGGGATTGGCAGAAGGGGGTGGAGGACACTGAGTGGAGGCCAGTGGAGGGATTGGCAGAGAGGGGTGGAGGACACTGAGTGGAGGCCAGTGGAGGGATTGGCAGAGAGGGGTGGAGGACACTGAGTGGAGGTCAGTGGAGGGATTGGCAGAGAGGGGTGGAGGACACTGAGTGGAGGTCAGTGGAGGGATTGGCAGAGACGGGTGGAGGACACTGAGTGGAGGTATTGGCAGAGAGGGGTGGAGGACACTGAGTGGAGGCCAGTGGATTGGCAGAGAGGGGTGGAGGACACTGAGTGGAGGTCAGTGGAGGGATTGGCAGAGAGGGGTGGAGGACACTGAGTGGAGGCCAGTGGAGGGATTGGCAGAGAGGGGTGGAGGACACTGAGTGGAGGCCAGTGGAGGGATTGGCAGAGAGGGGTGGAGGACACTGAGTGGAGGCCAGTGGAGGGATTGGCAGAGAGGGTGGAGGACACTGAGTGGAGGCCAGTGGAGGGATTGGCAGAGAGGGGTGGAGGACACTGAGTGGAGGTCAGTGGAGGGATTGGCAGAGAGGGGTGGAGGACACTGAGTGGAGGCCAGTGGAGGGATTGGCAGAGAGGGGTGGAGGACACTGACTGGAGGCCAGTGGAGGGATTGGCAGAGAGGGGTGGAGGACACTGACTGGAGGCCAGTGGAGGGATTGGCAGAGAGGGGTGGGTAGATACAGAACGGTTAGTAAGGTGGATGAGTCTGGCAGCAGCATTCATGATAAACTGTAGGGAGGATAGCCTGCGATGAGGTCGGCCAATGAGGAGGGAGTTACAATAGTCAAGGCGAGATATAACAAGGGAGGGAATAAGTTGCTTAGTGGTTTCCAAGGTTTGTGTTCACAAATGTCTGCGCAGATCAGCCCCTACTGCAGCCTCTCACCTGGTGACTTGCTACAAAGTTTACAATGTACGGTCTGATCACTGGGGGAGGGGAGACTGAGGAAATGCTTCCTCCTGTCTCTACAAAGTTACAATGTGCAGTCTGATCACTGGGGGGGAGGGGGGACTGAGGAGATGCTTCCTCCTGCTTCCACAAAGTTACAATGTACAGCATGATCACTGGGGGAGGTGAGACTGAGAAAACGCTTCCTCCTGCCTGCAGCAGACTGATGACATCATCCTATACAAGGCGCTATGAGCATCATGGAGTGTATCTGTGGACTGCAGAATTATTCAGGTAACTAAGAGCAGCATGGAGGCTGTCTGGAAATTGCAGAAGAGAGGTCTACAGCTGGGTTCTTCGACTGAGCAGAGGCTTCCAGCTGGGTCCACCAGTAGCATTCTCAGTTGGGTGCCCCAAAAGAGGATATTCCAGCAGAGTCCTCCAGCAGAATCCTCCATCAGAATCCTCCAGCAAAGTACAGCAGGAGAGTAATCCAGCAGAAACCTCCAGCAAAGTCCTCCAGCAATGTTCCCCAGCAGGGTATTCCAACAAAGTTCCCTAGCAGAGTCCTCCAGTAGAGTTCCCCAGCAAGATCATCAAGCAGAATCCTTCAGAAAAGTACCCCAGGAAAGTCCTCCAGCAGATAATCCTCCAGTAGAGTTCTCTAGCAGGATCCTCCACCAGACTCCTTCAGCTGGGTCCTCCAGCAGGACCCTATATCAGAGTCCTCCAACAAAGTCCACCAGCACGGTACTCCAGTAGAGTCCTCCAGCAAAGTCCCCCAGCAGGGTTTTCCAGCAAAGTTCCTCAGCAGAGTCCTCCAGTAGCGTTCCGATCCTCCAGCAGAATCCCCCAGAAAAGTTCCCCAAGCAAAGTCCTCCAGTGGAGTCCTCCAGTAGAGTTCTCAAGCAGGAGCCTTCAGCATTGTCTTTCAGCTGGGTCTTCCAACAGAGCTCTCCAGCAGATTTCTCCAGTAGAAACCTCCATCAAAGTCCCCCCAGCAGGGCCCTCCAGAAGAGTCCTCCAGCAGAAACCTCCAGCAGAGTCCTCCAGAAAACACCCCCAGCTGGGTCTTTCAGCAAAGTTCCTCAGCAGAGTCCTCCAGTAGAGTTCCCCAGTAAGATCCACCAGCAGAGTCCTCCAGTAGAGTTCCCCAATAAGATCCACTAGCAGAGTCATCCAGAAAAGTTCCCCAAGGAAAGTCCTCCAGCGGAGTTCTGCTGTAGAGTTATCTAGCAGGATCCTCCAGCAGAATCTTTCAGCTGGGTCCTCCAACAGAGTTCTCCAGCAAAAACCTCCAGCAAAGTCCCCCAGCAGGGTTCTCCAGCAAAGTTCCCCAGCAGGGCTCACCAGCAGAGTCTTCCAGCAGGGTCCTCCAGCAGAGTCCTCCAACAAAGTCTTCCAGTAGCGTACTCCAGCAGAGTCCTCCAGCAGAAACCTCCAGCAGAGTCCTCCAGCAAAGTCCACCAGCAGGGAACTCCAGCAGAGTCCTCCAGCAGAAACCTCCAGCAGAGACCTCCAGCAAACTCCCCCAGCAGGATCTTCCAGCAGAGTTCCTCAGCAGAGTCCTCCAGTAGGGTTAGGTAGGATCCTCCAGCAGAGACCTTCAGCTGGGTCCTCCAACAGAATTCTCTAACAGAGTCCTCCAGTAGCGTTAGGTAGGATCCTCCAGCAGAGACCTTCAGCTGGGTCCTCCAACAGAATTCTCTAACAGAGTCCTCCAGTAGCGTTAGGTAGGATCCTCCAGCAGAGACCTTCAGCTGGGTCCTCCAACAGAATTCTCTAACAGAGTCCTCCAGTAGCGTTAGGTAGGATCCTCCAGCAGAGACCTTCAGCTGGGTCCTCCAACGGAATTCTCTAACAGAGTCCTCCAGTAGGGTTAGGTAGGATTCTCCAGCAGAGACCTTCAGCTGGGTCCTCCAACAGAATTCTCTAACAGAGTCCTCCAGTAGGGTTAGGTAGGATCCTCCAGCAGAGACCTTCAGCTGGGTCCACCAACGGAGTTCTCTAACAGGGTTCTCCAGCCAGGTCCTTCAACAGAGTTCTCCAGCACCACCAGAGCAGCAATCAGGGGCCTCCATCATACCAATGAGGATACATTGCTGCAACAAATTCCCTTTCCTATTCAAAGAGGTGAAAAGTAAAAAAAAAAAAGTTGATTTGCGTCCATTTGCCGTATTGCTAAATATTTCCCCGTTCGGAGGGGGTGGGGCTGCCGGGACTCTGCAGAGAAAGTCTTCCGGCAAAAGAAACAGTAAAATAAATGGAACGGCGGAGGAACGCGGCGATAAAGGCCTGGCGCTTTCAGATAAATTTGAAGTCATTTACTGCAGCCCATTCTCCTTTTTTTTTTTTCTGCGCGCGTCGTGAAACGAGACCTTCGCGGCCGGGGCGATCTCGCTAACAGCCTTAATGCATCGACCTGCGTTGTAATAAAGCCGTATGATGGCTGCAAAGTAATCTAAATGAATATTTTATTCAATTTTCCTGGATCTTCCCGAACCGGGGTATTTAAGGTTCACCATTCTGCTAATCGCGATGCAGGCGCAGATGTGGATTTGCATAATTAAAGGGGAAGCGTCGCCTGATTTGTGTTTGGGAAAAGCGCTGCCGGTTCGTCTAATACACATCCTTTTAATTTCATCCTTCTTCTGGGGGGGGGGGGAGGGGAAATCAAGAGAAGCGCAATTTAAATACTTTAAATGACATATCGCTACATTTTTTTTTTTTATCTCTCATTCTTTATTCACATCTCCGACATTCAGTGATTGGTGGGAAGTGATATGCTGAAGGTAAAGCAGACGTGAACCCGATCATTAGAATCTCATTTAATATGGTAATGTCATTATTGAAGTCGATTTCAATTTTTATTTTTTGTTTTGCTTCTGCAGCTTTCGGTAAATAGCACCGGGTGATCCTGCCACGTTCAGGCGACAACAGGGGCGTCCCTAGGGTTGGTGTCACTAGGTGCGGTAACACTTGGTGACACCCCCTCCGACGATCCCCGCAGGATGGTTCGGATCTGCGGATTGAGCATAATGGATCGGACTCCGATCCATTATGCTCCCGAATCCGCAGATCTGATCCTTCCTGCTGGGATCATCAGCTTTTTTTTACAACTTACCTTTTCATGGAGCGGGTCCGGTGTCACACCCCGTATATGTTGCATACTGACGATCCCCGCAGGATGATTTGAATCTGCGGATTGAGCATAATGGATCGGACTCTGATCCATTATGCTCTCCAATCTGCAGAGACGATCCATTATACTCCCCAATCCGCAGAGCCGATACATTATGCTCTTCAATCCACAGATCCGATACATTATGCTCCCCAATCCACAGATCCGATACATTATGCTCCCCAATCCACAGATCCGATCCATTATACTCTCCAATCCACAGATCCGATCCATTATACTCTCCAATCCGCAGATCCGATCTATCCTGCGGAGATTGTCGGCTTTTTTTTTACAACTTACCTTTTCGTGGAGCGGGTCCGGCGTCACCCCATATATGTTGCATACCGACGATCCCCGCAGGATGATTTGAATCTGCGGATTGAGCATAATGGATCGGGCTCTGATCCATTATGCTCCCCAATCCACAGATCCCATCCATTATGCTCTCCAATCCGCATATCTGATCCATTATGCTCTCCAATCCGCAGATCTGATCCATTTATACTCCACAATCCACAGATCCGATCCATTATACTCCCCAATCCGCAGATCCCATCCATTATGCTCTCCAATCCGCAGATCTGATCCATTATACTCCCCAATCCACAGATCCCATCCATTATGCTCTCCAATCCGCAGATCTGATCCATTATACTCCACAATCCACAGATCCGATACATTATACTCCACAATCCACAGATCCGGTCCTTCCTGCGGGTCGTCGGCTTTCTTTACAACTTACCTTTTCATGGAGCGGGTCACCCCGTATAAGTTGCATGCCGACGATCCCCACAGGATGATTTGGATCTGCGGATTGAGCATAATGGATCAGAGTCTGGTCCATTATACTCCCCAATCCGCAGATCCCATCCATTATGCTCCCCAATCCGCAGATCCCATCCATTATGCTCCCCAATCCGCAGATCCCATCCATTATGCTCCCCAATCCGCAGATCCCATCCATTATGCTCCCCAATCCGCAGTAAAGGTAAATTGTAAAGAAAGCCGATGATCTCCGCAGGATGGATTGGATCTGCAGATTGGGGAGCATAATGGATTGGAGTCCGATCCATTATGTTCAATCCGCAGAATCAAATCATCCTGCGGGGATCGTCGGCTTTCTTTACAACTTACCTTTTCGTGGAGTGGGTCCGGTGTCACCCTGTGCGGTAGGTGTCACCCGGTGCGGCACATTCCCCCCCCCCCCCCACACACCATGCCCCCCTCCTAATTAATGCGACTCTGTATTCATTTATACGTCATTAAAAATTTTTTTAATACAAACAATCAATCAGCTTCTTACCTTCTTGCACAGCAGAGCTCAGACTGGAGAAATGGAGAAGCAGCACAAGGAGTCTTCCATTGGGTAATAAATTGGGTGGGGTGCCAGATAATTTCAATGTTAGACTCTCATAGGCATCATCCCATATAGAACAATAGAGACATCTGCATCAACATAACCAGAAAGGGGACTTTAAATATGCCTCTGAGAGTCAACACAATCAGATATAAAATAAATTATTATATAAATTGATATAAATATAAAATGTTCTTTATTCCAAATATTATTACAAATTCAAACATATGACTAATATAGAAAAAG